AGCATGATCCTGGCAACAAAAACAGCATGCTTAAGAACTGTTTTCTGCAGTGCTGGCCATGGAAATACAGAGAGTAGGATGAAGGTGCTTTGGGAATTAAAATTTGAATGAGTTCAATTGTAGCAGGGAAGGTAAATTTTTTCCCTTCTGTGTTAGAAGTGTTATTAACGAGATAATTAATGTTGGACAAACGGGTTTTAAGGCTCTACTGTTTTCTCTCTCTGCATGTCATCTCATATGCTTTCCTGAGGAGTAACAAAACAGTTTCAACAGCAAAATGAAGCATAAGAAGGCTAAGAGGGCATGTAGGGCAGAATAAAGTAAAAGCTTCATAGCTATCACTACCACCAACCAATTCTTCATTAGCACATCATAGATATTCTTCATATTTGTGTGAGGTTACATGACCTCATAGTCTCACTCATAAACAGGAGGATGGTGATATAAGTTTTATTTCAGATGAGGCTAGCAGTATTTGATCTCAGGCAACAGGGAGTTCTCCAAAATTCCTAGCAACTGTAGCAAATCTGCAGCAGGAGCAGTAGCAAGAATTTTAAGGCTAGGTTTCAGAGTAGTCATTGTCAACTCATATCTCAGACAGAGAATTTGAGGCCTTTATTTTTGCCAAAAAAAAAAAAAAAAGGCAAATATCTTCTGGGGTCACTACCATATGTCAGACAAACCACCAAAGAAGCAGTTTAATCCAGCAGTGTTTTTCACTCTTTTACTGATGGTAAGCTAAAAGGTTCATAACCCATCCATACAATTGCAGAATGCCAGCTGTTCATAAAGCCTGGTTTATAGATAACTCATTTTGCATCTCCAGAGGGCTGTGATTCCATTTTTCTTTTATGAACCTGACATACAGGAGGGGCTTGTTCCCACATATACACATACAGAACTTTCTTTTCTCTTCAGGTCCCTCCTTCCAACTCAAACCATGATGTTCTCTATTTTTGCATTTCATTTCAGTTCTCATTTCCCTAGCTCTTAGACAGTATAATTAGATTACACTCTAATTACCTAAACCTGGCTACGTCAGGATGTTGCATCACTGGGCCGTCTGCTGGGGTGAGTAATGAATTTTCCAAAAGGCCACCTGCAATGATTTTCAAACATTAACAACGTATCAACGGTGGTTGATGGGATCAGTTGCTGAGTTTCCCATGGAAACCTGCCCTGCAGTTGTGCTGTCAGAAGACACATGTTCCTCTTCTCTACCACTTATCTGTGGTGAAGTCAATGAAGATACACCAACATAAGCCATCTTGCCTGCAAAATGCCTTTAAAAGCAGGAATAGGAACAAATAACTAAATCACTGAGGATCAAGTTTCCTGGGATTTTGTCTCAGTTGCTATTATTTCATTGTGTAACCTATGCGCACTTCAATGTCTTTTTACACAACTATAGCTATAATATCACCTGCCTACTTCACAGGAGCAATAGGTTGCTAAATAGCTACATGGCAACCGACACTTTTTGGCAGAAAAGCAGCAAGTGGAAACGCGTTATTATGTTGGTGGAATGGTAATTGCAAGCAGTTAAAACAGCCAAGTATGTACTGACAAGATCACTTTTGCTTAGCAAACAGTTAAACTCATTCATCAAAGATCAAGTAGCCCTACATTACAATTTGGCACAAGCTTTAGAAGCAAGCTGAAATGATTAATGAGCCATCAACCACCTGCCTCAGACCGAGCAGGTACTGGGCAACGTTATTCTCCCTCTCCTACCTCCCGGCAGCTCTCAGGTGGCTGTGGCAGCAGCCCACTGCTTTGCTGACTCCCTTTCCTTGTTATTTCCTTATAGGTCTGCCCTACTGCTTTGTAATGTACGCTAGGCGGTATTTTGATCTCTCGTATTTCTCATGGTGTTGCCGCCAGATTGCTACACCTCTTGATTGACTTGTATCTCCTGTAATCTGGGGAGTGTTATCTATCAGGACTCACCCAGACAGCCTGGTGATCGCTTCCTGGGGGCAACGTCAGGGAGGCTTCTTGCATTAGAGGCCAAGCTGGCGATCTGCCTCCCTACTGGTGAGGAAATTCACGGACCAAGTGGTTCTTCGTCTTCCCAGCCGTTCTTGCATTTTTAGGTCAGGCCAGTGGCCAAAAATACCCTGTACCATCAAAATCTGTTTGGAATATTACAGCCACTACTTCCTTCCTGCTAATCATACTGTAATTAGTCTTCAATCAGAGCAGCAATTGAAAAGCTCAGATCTGTGAGGATGTGTGAACAGCTTGGATGTAAAAGTTGTTCTTATCTGTGATATGAGCCAAGAGTTTTGCACTACATCCACCGCCATGTTGCCTATCCCACATCCATCACCTTCTCCTTTGCTTCAACATAGCCAGCACGTATAGGTTACCTAGCGCATGTTGTAAGGTACAAACCCCAGACATTTCAGGAGGGGCAATGTCTGGGGGAAACGTCTGGAATGTATTTCTCAATAGGAGTTCATGCTACACTTTTTACTTACATTGTTTTATTGCTTATTATATGGGCTCCAGTAGCCTGTGGCCAAGGTGGAAAGAAAGGGTAAAAATAGGGAAAGTATAAATGCAGAGATGACGTGATGGGACCAAGTAATACGGGTTTCCAGGGACCGAGCCAGCTGGAGACTCCTGACTCCCGGCTTACACTGCCGGCTCAGCCAGCGCACCACGGTGTCAGAGAGAATGTGCAAGGTGGGCACAAGTGGCTTGCTTTTCAGAAGAGCCAAGCAATCCCGAAATCATTAAAGCAACTGCAAAACTGCCCAGGGCCACTGAAATATGGACTGTCTGGAAGCATTCAGTTCTGTGTGGCTCAAAGCCCTGACTCCACTTCGGATGCTCTATAAACAATAACATCAACACAAACTGTGTTATCTAATAAGTTTCAGAAATGTTTGCAATCGGTTCTCAAAGCAGACTCATTCAGAACCGAAATGCTGCAGAGCAGAAGACAGCAATTATAATAGACGGATGCTGCTGAGTTAGAGAAGAGCAAAATCTTTTGTCAGCAAAGCCTGTTTGCACAGGCAGAGGCAGCGTCAGTAGGTCCAGAAAGCAGTTACACTACTCTGTGCACTAACAAGTTCACTGCAAGGCTTGGACAAAATTTGCTAATCCTTCGTCTTTTTAACTTGCAGTGGCCTTTTCTGGCAAATTGGGAAAGGTTCAGAGAAGAGTTACAGGAGTGATGAGAGGGCTGCAAAAACTTGCGTAACACTGAAAATGCCAGCAGCTCATCAGTTTGTTGTGTCAAACAGCAGGTTAAGAGAGGACCTGATCGCTGTGTGGAAAACAGACTTTTGATAATGGGCTCATTGGTGTGGCATTTAAAGGTATAAACAAATCCAATGACTGGAAGCTGATGTTAAAAAAAAATCAGACTAAAAATAAAGAAGGACATTTTCAACAGCAACAGTAATTAACCTTTGGGACAGTTTATTGATGGTTGTGCTGGATTTTCCATCCCTGGAAACACTAAAAAACTGGATGGAGGTTTTTCCAAATGACTTCCTAAATGCCCAGCAGAGAAAGCAGAACAGGATACTGCTCAAAAAGCTAAAAATCACTTTGACCCATTTTCAGGCCCTCCTCGTTGACCATGAACTCTCTCCTCCCAGCTTACCCGGGTGGGTAAGGAGCCCTTGGAGAGCCTTGGGTATAACCGTTTCAGTTGGCCAGAGGACAAAACACAGATGTAATTTCTGGAGTTTCCTCCTACCCTATGTCAGGAAGGAACATTTCCAACCGATGTTTATTGCACCTTTTCACACGTCCTTTTGTGCCAAGCTCTGTCCTAGCTGTAAGAGCCACTCCTCACTTTGTCCATCCTTTCCCATATTTGCTTTTCTTTTCCTGATGATATTTTCTGTACCCTTGATGCTTGCTTTCTCCCACTCCCCCCACACTGCTGCTCTTTTTTCTTGCACTCATTTCCTTGACGGGCTAATCCCTTCTCCCAACCCCACAGGACCAGAGGGAGCAATAACACAGCAGGGGAGAGATTTTGGGGGAACCGTGGGGGCCAGCTGCTTCCTTGCTCCCACCTCACCAAGTGCCGCGCAGGCAGAGGAGAGCACCCGCGGCTCTGGCTGAGCAGCACCACCAGCACCCGCGGTAGCCAGAGAGCACTGCTCGCCATGAGCTGCCTCCAGCGCTGGCAGAGCTGGGAGCACATCTCTGAGCTACGGGGGAGAAGGCTTCTTGCAAGTTCACAACCCCCTGCTCCTCTTCTCTGCCCCAGGAGATCTGACACAACAGAAAAGCTCCATAGCCCTGTCAGTACTGCAGGCAAAAGTTTGGTCCCTACCTACAGATACCATAGTACTGCACGCCCTGTCATATGCAACGCTTGGGCCAGGAGATGCTGCATATCACGGCCCTGCCTTTGCCCTAAATTTATCACGTGGCCATGAGCGATACAATTCACCTTCCCACTTCAGCTTCCACCATTACAGAACTACAATAACGATAGTTACTCAGCTACTGCACAGGAGCATTTTCAGGATCAATTACTTAGCATTCATGCAAAGCTCTGTGGACAGCAGCCTCAATACAAGTAGTAAGTACTATTATTATTACTGTACTTCAGATGGTTACAGCGTTGGCATTTTCCAGGCATGCACCATTAACAATTTACTAAGATAAATGGCCCAGGAACCTGAAAATACATTTATGACAACTACCTCCTGCTTACCAGCATACATTCACCTGAATAAATGACACCTCATTGCTCAATGCATAGCTAGGTAAGCTTTATGTCTCATATATTCAAGTGTGCTCACAAACACACACACACGGAGCTGGAGGGAAGCCAAGCTACTTCATTTAATGACATAGAAACCCTGAGCCAAAGAACTTTCCTAACCTCCAAAACTTGCACTGCCCCCTCGGAGCTGGGAGCCAGGAGCGTAAAACCCACCATGTGCCATGCCAGGAAGCGCTGCGTAAACCACAGGCTGGAAAGTGCAGCTAGCACGTAACCAGGCCTTCAAGGAACTTACTTGAGAGCAGTTTTGTAGTGGTAGATAGCTTCAATGTTTCGACCCTGGTCTTTCAGAAAATTGGCATAGTTGTAGTGCACCTTGGCGTTATGGGGTAGAGTCTTCACTCCTGAGCTGTGAATGGAACAGAAGCAGGAAGATGTTAGCCAGTTACGTTCCCCCCTCCCCTTCCCTGAGGTCTATCTTCTTCTAATCATTGCTTTCTCAAAATAAAAATTTACTCATATTCTGAGTGTCTTGTTACTTCCCATGCACTCACACCAAGGGAACTAGTGTTACAAATTCAAGCTTGCCCCACACTTGCAAACTATGCAGGGAACTGGCACACCATGTGTCCTGAGCTGGACATAAATATGTGGCAGCAATTCATCTCCTCCATCACCACCACGGATACCTCAGCAACACTCCCTGTGAACAGATACCACGGATATTTCAAAGTCTGGATTATTAAATTGTAAGGCCCTAAAAAGTCTAACACTTAGAGGGCAAGTAGGTACTTTCTAAAATATAGTCATAACAACCTCCCTCATCTCCACTTCTGCTTAAACTTGAGTGTCACAAAGTTCCTCATAAAAATCTTGAGTTAAAGCTATCAGCTGGAGGTGCTGGAGAGAAAGTATCTTTTCCGTATGCATCAGCCACTAGAGGGGATGCATAGCATACTCTGGCTGCCGAGCTAGCACCTACGCACTGCATAGCACTGAGCAGAGAGTGTAACCAGGAGGTAAGAGCTAATGGGTCTCTTACCCTTAGCTTGCAAGTCATACATTCTCACATTATTACATATGACTGTGGCCATGTAGCTATACAATCGCCCCGTCCCTCCTCTTCCCCTTCCTAGCCGTGTAAATTGGGCTGGACTTTTGGAATTAACAATGAGGGCACAAATTTAAAAAAAAAAAAAAGAAGAAGAAGAAGAAGAGCTAGCAAATGCTTATTCACTTAATTTAGAGCACAGAAAGCAGGGTACGCCTTGCATAGCTAGAGAAAATGCTGTTCCGAGGCTAGAGACAGAAAGAAATCACAGGAGCGCACACACCATGGAAACATTTCCCCTGCAAGAATCTCGCGGGGTTGGTACTCCACGTAAGAGGGGGATGCTTTCCAGCATATAAACAGGGGCTCTCTGAGGAAGTAAGGCTGGATGAACCCGTTCATGTAAAACCAGAGTAAGCACCATGTCTTGTTCCCAGGTCACAGGCAGATTGCTGCTAGCTGCTGCCGTCTTTCCTCCCACCATCTCCGAGCCTGCTACCTCAGGTAGGAACTGCAGGCGCTAGGAAATTCTCAAGTCTTTTTGCCTTGCCTTGTCTATCTCTGCTGTTCAGCTTCGGTGGGCGATGAAGAAGTTAACCAAGAAGAGATGGGGTCACACAGCCTCTACAGAGCAGTGCAGCCTGCAAAGGGGCTGGTGAGGGAGAACATAGCCATAGCTGCTGAAACCCTTTGTCAGGGATCTCCTTGTTAAAAAAAAAAAAGCGGGGAGGCGGGGAGGAAGGGAGTTGGAGAGCCTTAGCAGTGCTGTGGCATCTGCCTGGTTATCTGCAGCCAGCGGCATCAAGCGTCGCTAATGCCTACTTGCAAGATGTTTCAAAGGTTCGCCCACTGCCACCTCGCAGAGCTCAGCACAACACAGCCACCGTTTGCCTACGCAAATTAAGAATACACCTTGCATTTGACTTCCTAATCATCAGGTATTTCAAAGTTACTTACTGGGAGCACTACAGGAACAAGACATTTTGTGACTAATCGCCAAATTAAATCACCTAATTGATGCTATTCTTAAGAGAATGATTTTCTATATTAGTTTTCACAAAGATATATGGCACCAGCAGCAAGTAATGTGTGACTGCTACGGCTGTGTTAATTTCCACTGGCCTTGGGAGCTATTAACTACACACTTACAACCTCTGGGCATTACTGGAATATTAATTCCCATACAGAAAGGCTTTCATTACATCAGCGTGTTATAGGCAAAGACACAGACCGGCACTCAGAGCTGCTGCTATCTCAGAATTGCGTGCAATGAGTTGTTGGCTCTGCTATAGCCCCTGCTGAAACAGAGCAAACTGAGTTAATGGTGAGAAGCGCTCTACATGCACAAGTACTTCAATTCTAATGAGACACAGCTTTAACAGTAAGATGCATATCTTTAAATATTTTAATTTTGGATGGTATCTCTTTCAATAGAATATTGTTAATCATGCTGGTCCCATTTATTAAAATTGCACTAATAAAGGTTCTTCTTTCATTCTGTGTGCTTCTGTGGGGGTAGAGAGTGATGTAGGAAAGAGAGAAATTGGTTCAGTTTGGGGTTTTTAGGATGCTCTCTCTTCTGCACCACACCACTCATGCTCCCTGACCTATTTATTCTTCTCATGCGGGATTTGTGTCTGACTTTGCATATGCACACATTAATGCCTGGAGTTAACTGCTTGGAGTATCTGCACTGTCAGCTGTAGTAGCGCACACAGTACTGGATGTGGAGTGGGTTTTTTAGGAGTTTGGGTAAACACTTCAGCTAATTGATTCTTGACCAGCTGAAAACACTGTTAGCTCATTGACAGAGGAAGCAATAATATCCACAATGAAAGCCAAGTGGGAAAGGGTGGAGCATAAATAACAACGCAGAACACAATGGCTTTCCGTTTCTGCTTCCCGCAAGCCCCCTCCCGATCTCGCAAAACTTCAATCTATTTTTCCAACATGCTTTTCCAAATTCTCCTGTTTCCCTCCTCCCCGGCCCAGCACACGTGCCCTTCTGCAAATCCACGGACCCGACCTCACTCCAGCCAGAAACAAGTCCACTGAGAACGAACGTCACTTCTCAGGAGGATTTCCTTCCCTTTTGACTTCTATGACAGCAGCGAGCAACATAAATGAAAAGTAAACAACACGCAAGCCATTTTACGTAACACTTCCTCTCCATGGAAAAGCAAAAGCCTATTAGTCATAATGCAGAGAAATAAAATACTACTGGCATTTCCAACCTCAAATGTCATCATTACTCAAACCCCACTTGAGTTGGGAAAAATCTCCTGCCATCCTCTCTGTTGTTTTCCTAAGTGCAGGCTCTACTCTGCAAAGTGACTCAGGTGCAGGGCAGAGAGGGTGTTAATTTTCAGTGATTTCCATATGAAAAAAGCTCAGTTTCGAAGGAAATGAGGCCGCTCCTGCCTCAATATGAGCCCTGGGAGACTGATGGGATCTCCTCTGCTTTTGGAATCATTAGTAGCAATAAAGGTAAAGGTTCTCTACAGCAAATTATTCTCTTGATGACACAAACAACCATTTTCCTTGGCCTCATACCCTCGTATTGATTCTCCCAGATATCCATGTTGGAACTAATTATACTATTCTATAGAAGATGCACAAAATGTAACAAGACGTGCTCTTCTCAGCTGAACTGGCTTTCAGAATAAACAAGAGCAAACAGAAGTAGGTGCCACCTTTGGGGATTTTTCTTTTTTCTTTTTTTGGCAAATTATTGAAGTCAGCAGACCTGGCATGGGAAGGAAGTCTGCTGACTAAGAATGTGCCACATTTATACAGTTCCTTTGCAGGTTACAACTACGCTTTCAGACACTGCTACAAATGTGGGCAGTATACAAACACACTCCTGGAGCAGGACAAAATGTGGCAGCTCCACAATCCTTGGAAAGGTCAGGACATTGGATGCAGAGGTTAGCCCACGGCCCTCTCACCTCCCTCTCCCTGGCTTGAGACTTTAACACTGACTGCAGCTGGAGCCTGACCTCCTGGGCTATGTATTCGTTCTGCAGGATAGTTCCTTAAGTGTTCAACAACAAGCCCTCCTTGCTCATCTGCCAGTGCAGTGCGACCAATAACTTGGGGCATCTAGAGATCTATTGGAATAATATGCCTCAAATATCTATAACTCTGTGTATATTAGACCACTTACTTATTATACTTATGGTTCATTTGCTTTTCATTTGGTCTTCACATATATGCTTGTGCACCTATGGTACATACATCATCTCCTCAGACAGTATCATCCTGCCTCACACTGCTTCTTCAGCCAAGACCTGGCAGGATTTCTGCGTCCTTCAAACTTGGCCTTTGTGCTGGAGACTGAGTCGGGGGCTCATTTGCAGAGATGGCAACACTGCTGACACAGGCAGCTCAATGCCATAGCAGGGTAAGTCTTGAGACCAGGACAAAATGGGGTGCAACGCAGATAACTGATAACATGCTGAGTATACAAACATCTCCTGGACCAGTGTAGAGAAAATGCGTATGACAGAGCAGGTCTCAGCTGAAGGCCAGGGAGTCTAGACACATCAACACTGAAAAAATACATCCAAGCAAATACAGGAATGAAATATAGTTGTGAAGGAAACAAAATGAGAGGGGGGGAAAAAAGCGGTAATTAATTAAAAAGGCAACCAGAGACAGAAGGAAGAATGAAGAACTAAGATTCTCTTAGTATGCACTTTTTACAACAGTCAACGCATGGAGACTACCAAGTAGGTTGATTTATGTCTCCTTTTCCCCTTCTATAGATTTGTTCTGGGTTCCCTTATTATTTCCTCCCATATTTCTTTGCTGTTTCTTATCTACTCCTCCTATTCTGTCCCTTCTAATTTATTGCTGTTTCACATGCCTCCATCTACTTCTCCCCCCTTTTCTCCTCTCCACACCATCCTATGTAGATCCTCCTCCTCCTGCCCCAGACAGGAGATCTCCCACTCCTGAAACAGCATTATCTTCTTGTTATACCATTCTCCTTTTGCATTGCCCTCCCACCAATAAGAACAGCCCTGCCATATTACAGACTCACACTAGATATATACTGCCCATCAAAGAAGATTTTAGGACAACAAGAAGGCCAACATGTTTAAAAAGCACAGTAAAGAAGGTGAAGAGAAATGAACACCATTTAAAAAGTGAAAGTCACAGCTAAAGAAGGAAAATAGAAAAGAACATAGACTTTGGCTAGTTAAACATAAAGCACAATTAGGCAGACCAAGGGAGATTTAAGGAACGATTTGCTGAAGACATCAAAGGTAATAATAAAACACATTAGATACAGGAAACCTGCCAAAGATCCCCTAAGGCAAATAGATGATGGAGGTCTAAAAGAAGTGCTTAAAGAATAAAAGGCCACAGCAGAAAAGCTAAGTGGATTACTCCTTCCAGAGGGGTGCTCAATGGGAGGAACTGAAGGAGGTTCCCACACTGGAGTCTTTCCTTACAGGGACAAGTCTGAAGCACTGTCTCAAACTGACGTGTCAGTAAAGGAGGCTTTAAAACAAATCAACACCGAGAACAGCTATAAATCCTCTGGGCCTGGTGGTATGCATCTAAAGGAAATCAGACACGGAGCTGCTAACTACTAGCTGCAGTATTGTACCTATCATTTAAATCAGCCTTGGTACTAGAGAAGTGGAAGGTGATGAATATCAGCTGTTCAGCTGTTCAGAAAGGCTCCTGGGGAATGGCCAGTTAATTTGGGAGAAACTGTAATAAAGACCAGATCTAGCAAACTTCTGTGTAACTATAATCCAACAGGGAAGACTCAACCTTGTATTTTGCAGAAAGAAGGTAGGTTGACAAATTTGTTGTTCTTTGACAGACTCAGATAGATGTGTATCTGTGAATAGATAGATGATATTAAAACTATTAAAAGTTTTTATGAAAAATCCAAGTGCACTGCATCTGCCCAGTCAGTCTGAACCACGTAGGTCAATGTCATTAGCTTGGATATTTGAAAAGGCTTTTGATAAAATCCCTCACTAAAACTTCCAATCTCTTCAAGGTATCATGGAATAAGAGGGAAGCTCCTCTTCCGAATCAATACTTTGTTGAAAGACAGGGAGCAAAGAGCATGAATGTGTAATCAGTTTTTAGAGTTGGAGAACATTATAAGCCAGGTCCTCAGGAGACATGCGCTGGGATCTGAGCTGCTTCACATGTTCAAAAAGGATCTGAAAAGGAAGTGAATAGGGAGGCAATAGGTTGCTCATGACACCAACATGAACCACGTTGCAGGAACCAAAGCTAAGTGCAAAGAGTTGCAGAAGGATCTCACGATATTGAAGGCTGGCCAACAAGATGGCAGATGAAATTCAATTCTAATACTTGCCCAAGTATCAGTGTACATGTACACTTTAAATCTGCATAGAGATTGATGTCTGTAAATCAGACATTTCCACTCCAGATAAACATATGGGAATTACTGTGAACAGTTCTGTGAAAACATTGCTCTGTGCTTAGGAGAGGTCAGAAAAGGCAAACGGGATGTTAGGAATTACCAGGAAAAGAGTAGAAAACAAAACAGACAACAGTGCTACAGTGCTATAAATCTCTGGAAAGGTGTATGTGACTCTGGTGCCCTTTCCCAAAAGGGCAGATTAGAGTTTGTAGAGGATACAGAGAAGACTGACAAGAATGACCACAAACGCAAAACAGCTTCCGTATGAGGAGAGTTTAAATCCAGCACGCTCCGATGTGGAAAAGAGACAGCTCCGGGTACGGGCACAAGGGGAGCCTGGGCATACAGGCCTGACAGGTACAGGAAAAGTGACAAGCTGACGGTTATTCACCGGTCATTCAAAACACCAAAGGGAATAACAAAACCCAGAACTAGGGGATGCCAAACAAGATGATGAGGCAGAAGGCTCACAACATGCAAACGGAAGTCTTATTTTGCACCCTGTGTAATTTAGCGATGGAACCCAGTGTACAGGATGCCAAAACTATAAATAGATTCAAAAAAGCAGTCAGAGACATTAATGGAAGGCAAGTCCACCGGTGGCTGTTAAATGCAAAAACTGCAGATTACTGCAAGTCAGGGAAGGATGGGAGGGATGTATCACTGTTACTTGCCCTGTTCTTGCATGACTTTTCCTGGCATCTGCTGCCAATCGCTCCCAAAGGTGGGCCACGACACCAGATGACCCAGCAGGAGCTCACCCACATTCTCATGTTCTTCCCAAAAGCCCAGGGCAGCTCCCTCTGCCTCAAAAGGTCCCCGTCCCAGTGGTGCCGAGTCCCTGCACACCTTCTCAGGCCCCACTCTCCCTGCACGCAGGAGCAGGGCAGAGATGGGGCCAGGGAGAGCTGTGGCCATCTGCCGGGGGATGCAAGTTGTGAGAAGAAAGGCTTTGCTCTCCTGGGCTCGTATTTTTCTGATGGCCACCTAGCTTGGAATGGAGGCAGGATGGACACAAGTCTGCTTGCATTCAGCTACACTGATGCAACTGTGACTTTCTCTACAGTGACAGGCCCTCCTGCACTCTATATCAGCCCAGGAGAGCTCCTCAGCAGAAGCAGCGCTAGCCTTTCATCTGCTCCAGTTTGAGCATCTTTCTTAAACACGGGTGACCAGAGCTGCATGCAATACAATGCCAGGTGATGATGAAGCACGGCATATGGAATTGCCATCTTCCCACTCCCCTTTTCAAAAAGAGAGTTTTCCAGCTTGGAAGGCCATCCTGCTTTCTCCTGAATAGCTCCTTTCTAGCGCTAACCAAGAAGATTTTGGACTGGAGCTGTGCTTAAAACGGATCACGGTGTGAGCCAAGCACAGTCACCATGGTTGCCATTGTTTAAAGAATAAACAGTGCTTCAAGGGGATGAGCAATGAATCATGTTAGAATGAAGAAACCCTTATTCCAGATTTTTCAAACAAATTCCACTACCAGATCTCCAACCACTTCAATAGTGTGTCCTGAAGACTGAAGGGTGCCTATAAAAAGTAATTTCATACTCTTTAGTGCCTAGTAAATTAAACTTTGCTCTGGCCAATTACTTAGAAAATAAAGCTAAGCAACCAGTGTGCAAATCACCTGCATCTCTACGATTACCTCACAATTAGACAACTGCTGAAAGCCGCTGGAGGCAAATGCAATACTTTTGCTGGCAAAACAGAAAAATGAAACGATCTATTTCAATGCAAAAAATATATAAATGAGGTTGTAAAGAGAGCTGTTTGGCAAAGAGTAATCAAATAAAATGAAATATGGTACATTAAGTTTGGCACTTCATGGCATTTCATTTTTGTCATTAAGAACATCACTAAAGAAAATTCAGTGTGTTCGATAGTGTTACTATGGTGTTCTGCAGGGTTGCAATGACATTCTGCCATGCCTTTAATAAGGGGAAAGTGCTACATTACTGCTGAATCAACAGAGCTGAAGTTATTTAAAAACAGTGTCTTAAAAATGCTAGTGCCAGAATCAAAGTCTGTGCATAAGCATACAAAGTGCTATACCAGTTTTTGCACAATTGCTTCAGGAAAAAAGAAATGAGGTGTTCTTTTGTAATAATCAAAATATTAATCACAACAATGCATTAATAGCAGGGTTATGCCTGTTGTTAAAGAAAACTATTTATTCCCATGCAACAAACAAGTGCAACTTTTTTTAAATAACAGAGAAAAATGCAAGTATTTTCCTGTGGTCACTCCTACCTGAAAAGGGATTCTCTTGACAACCAGATTTCATTCTGTTTCACGGTCTTCCAAGAGAACAGCAGCAGCAGTAAAGCAAAGAGAGTCAGAAGAGTAATTCTCCACTTATCTAACCATGTAGAGAGCTTTCTTAGGCCGTGGACAAAAAGAATGCAGTACCCCATACTGAAAAAAAAAAGGTACAAAAAGTTATATTCCAATATTCTGGTTATTCTGGACAAATCCAGTATTGTATTTATTTCACAATTACAGGTTTTTTGGACTAATTATATTTTCCAGGATAACAAACTCAACAGCATTTTTCCTCAAGTCATTACACAATTTCCAAATTAGTCTAAATGATAGACCCAGATGCCAAAAGTATAGTGGCATACATAATACCACCCAGTATAATGGTAGCTTACACTCTGCTCCGTGGAAGGCAGCTGCTTTTCTAACAGAAAGCTAAGAAAGCCTAATGTAATAATAGTAATATTTAGCGGTACTAAAGTGGCTTACAAGTGAAAAGCATTCCAATGCAATGAATTCTCTAAACAGCGGTGGCTGTTATTAATTCTATTTTACTAATGGTGAAACTGAGGCAGAAGGCGCGAGTGTTTCCCTGAAGCCGTAACGGGGCTGGGTGTCCGAGGCCACGCCGAAACGTGGGAATCCCTGCTCGCATCTTGCTTGATGCTCGTCGTGCCCCCGTGCCAGGGACAACTTTCGTGTTTTGCAAACTTAAGCAAGCTACACGTGATTCTGCTCCGGGCGCAGACAACGCTGAGCGGAGAACAATGGCATTTCCATCACGGCCAGCCGGCGTGGCCGGCCCCGCAGAACGGGCAGCCAGCTAGCATCACCGCCCTGCCTTGCACAGCCAGCCTCAGGGAGGGCTCAGCTCTTCCACTCAGATGATGCCACAGATCAGGCGCATAACGCTTACACGACTTACAGGGATTGCTAACTGCAAAATAGGAAGAATAGGGGACATGTTTCATAAGATGCACAGGTTAGCGTCGCTCTGACAACGGTGTGACTGCAGTACAATTCTCAATTCGTACACTTTAATCTCACGCTTTACGTATGTATTTTTCCATTTATTAAAATCCTAGTAAATAACTGTGTTAACAGCAATGGCATTAGCAGTAGTGACAATGAAGTTCTCCCTTTGATATGTGTGATTATTGCAGACTAATCAGAAGCTGGATTACAGATCTGAAATCAGTTAATGGAGCTTGCTAGCTGCTGTTTCATAAAACTACATCCAGTTTCCAGCTTCCAGTCTCCCTATATTTTCATGGCTCTCCACGTAGAACTATTGAGGAATTTTCTGGGAAATGAACTGCATTTTGAAGTAAAGTCTTGTTCCTGTATGACTTTAAATCAGTTTAGCAATTAATTACATTAACTTAAACAAATGCTAGGTAACTTCATCCAATGCTGTCCCTGTGAGCTGGAAATCGAGTGCTTTTCAGTTGCTGTACTTAGCATACTGCTGATTTTACCTGGCATTTTTGTGAAGGAATTTCTATTATCTGAAGAATTTCATGAGTTTATCTGCAGCCATCTGAAGGAAGTTACTTAGCACCTGATTTAGGTCTAGATCTAAAAGGTATCTTAGTCTAGGCAGCTCCCATTGAAGGAAAAAAGGAGCAAAAGGACTTGGAATAACAATTAGGGACCATCAATATGCCAAGAAGAAAGAGAAGCAGTTCCCAGACACTACCGCATCTTGAATCCTCGCTGATATAATTTAATGTGTCTCACTGAGAATTGCAGGAAAACTGCAGGCAGGGAGCTGTCACCTGCTCACGCTCTGGCCAAACGTCCACACACATCGTCCACGCTCATCGGTGGCCTGTGCCTGGAGGTCTAAGGAGCTCCCCTAGGAGGTTGTTACAAGGTAAAAGAAAACTACGGATGCAATTCCCCTATCAGAGGTAACCTTGTAAGGAAACACGCGATACAGTAAGAGTCAATCCAGAAATCAGAAAAGCACCACATCCGCAAGTTGCTGCTAAGGCGCTTCCCCGTGCAGTTCCCGTGCCCTCTTGGAGGGCCAGGCATTTCGCTGTTGTGTGGGTGCCCTCCATGCACAGGAAGGAGAGACACCCTAATTCCGGCTTTTCCTGAGCGCCTCTGTTGTCCACACAGGACACTGAGGGAGGTACAGACATAGGGGACAGCCCAAGGAAAACATCACTTCTAGGGCTCATTAGAAGCTTTGTCACTGTTTTTTTCAGGATTTTTCTCCTGTTTTTCAGAAGTGGATATCAACGTTCATTTTTACTTAACCGTGCTTATATTTTGCTGCAACACATTTCGTACAGCACTTGCACTGTTTGTTTCCATAAATTCTTTTGCACACATGTTTATTGCACCTACGTTAATTGCAAGCAGACATTTAGAGCTACAAACTGAGATGGCGGTGCCAAACTATCCAGCCTTTATAGCTATTGAACTCTACTTTAAAACCTCTGAAAAGCTAATCTCAGTAATAAGCACTCCCTTTCCAATAAGAAATGCCTCAAAAACCTGTAGACTGTTTTCACTCTGTTATGTTGCCTTTCAGCAATTTAATCCTTCCCTTGGAATTAATTACCTGACATAAACATTATTTAATTGCTTTAACACAAAGCAGTTTTCAAAGGAAGTCCCCTACACCTTCACATTTTTAAGAATGGGCCTTTTCAAACAGAATGGTGAATGTGCCCAGAAGACAAAAAATGCAAACGTCAATGTCTTGGTATTTACATCAAACCCTGCCCCAGCTGCTGGGAATTTCTGCCTTAGCAGCCGCGCTCAGTGTGTTTGTCCTGGCACAGGACAGCCAACACTGCACTACAGCTTACCCAGCCACTGCAAAGGCGCCGCTTTCAGGGGTGGTTTTTCTAACATCTGAGATGCAGTTTCACAGTAGTTATACAAGGGTGCCAGGTACTAGATGGGAATGAGGGTTCATCTCACTATAATTCCCACCTGAAGAACCACACGGACATAGTATAGGCAGACAGCAGCACCTAGCTCCTAAATGGCCCTTTCCATCAGCAGCTCCCAAAGCACTTTGTAAGGGAGGGCCACCGCAATTTTTCCTCATTTTGCAGAGCAGCGACCTGAAAGCTGGTGATGAAGTGGTCTGCTGTGCTGGCAGGCAGAGGTGCGAACGGTAACCAAGGCACCGAAGTCTCTGCCCACAGCACAGAGGAGTGCACATGGAAACCAAAGTGTCTCACTGAAAAGCCCACAGGACTCCCCAAGAGATAAACAGGGAAGTAATTCAAGGGCAGTCTCTGCATCCACACTCAGCGAGGTGGCAAAACTACAGGACTGTGCAGTCAGTGCATACCACGAGGGGAACGGTTTCCCAAATAGCTGCTGCACGGTGACCATGTCACTCGCACACCAGAATCCCGACCTGCAAAAGGGTAAGATTAAGGAGTAACGCTAAAAAGGGCAGAGCTGAAGCACAGTTCATACTTTAATAAGCTGGAGGTAATTGTGATAAAATCAGGACTGAGCCTCAGCTGCACTTCAATTACAGCCTAAGTAGCATATAGTTAAATATACCTATGCTATAAGGTGCACAGAAAGAAAGGCAAGAGGAAAAGGATCAGAAAATGGTAGGCTGGTAAACACTTTTATTTTCAGATACAGCCTGCTAAGTTTGGCTTAAAACTTCAGACAGTAATTTCCTGTTGCTGATCATCAAAAAAAGGGAGGGGAAGACAAGCCTGTATTATCTTGTCAGGGACCTTTCAGTGGCGATGTCAGGTAGAGCCACATCTTTGCACAGCTTCTTTTATGGCATGGTTATTTTAAACCCCATCACTGGTTGAGGGAAGGGATAACATTCCTGTCCGTAGGACTTTTGCAGAGCAAGGACTCCAGAACCACTCAGCACACTCCCATGTCCTTTGCTGTCAGGAAAGCGTGTGTACACGCACAATTGCTACGCTACAAACTGTTTGTGAAATACCCTCCCTGCAACATGCCCAAACTTATTACGGTTAGCCATTTTTGCACCTCTCTAAGATTCATTTCTACTTTAAGGTCAAATAATTATGGAGGAATCAGGGCAAATCTGCTCTAAACAAAACAAAACAAAAAAAAAGCATTCACATCAATGCAATGTGCATCCATTAAAAGCAATTATATCACTATTGTTTCATATTCCCCTAAATGCATATTCCCCCCTACCCTATAACCCACTTGTTTCACAGTAGACTAAATGCTCCTGGTACGGGAATTAACTTTAATATAGAAATCATACAATTTTGAAACAATCAAGCACCACACTTGTTATAATGGAGTTGTTGCAATGGAAATCTGCCCTGACATTCACTAGACCTGGACAGGCTGGGATCACCCATCCTGCAAACAGCGTAGATGGGAATTCTGTGACTGAAGGAGGGAAAGGGAAAAAAGAGAACCTGCAAATTTGACCTGCTTTCTTATGGAAATGAGGCTGAGGACACCCTGCTACCTGTGGGTTTGCCTGTCTGCGTATTCCATCCCAGTAACTTTTCAAACATATTTGTCACAGGATGGAGGTCTTCTAGACAATGAAATTCCCGCACCAGCCCAGCAGTAAGTGGGCAGACAGCACAGCACCCGAGCAGGGTTACACTGAGGGATGCCCCATCTCTCCAAACAAGTGACTGTTACAATGGTTGGGGGACCTCAGCAAATGGCAAGGGAAATGTCAATAAGAATTTCCACTGTCACAGACCCTTCAGTACTTCAACCATAAGAAACAAATTCTTTGTATTTCACTTGTTCCTGACCTCACAGAGCTTCAACTATAGGAAGCTGTTTGAAGCTGCTCTGAGTTTTGGCAAGGCGATAGCAGTCCAGGCACAGCTGAGTTGGTAGGACGAATACAGGTCCTACAGAGGTGAGACTGCGCTTATCTAATTAAAGTAACTTATCAAGCGTCTCTAAGATACTTACTATGTGGTTCACTCTGCCATGGCCCTGTCACCATCCACAAACACACAGGATAACATTTCAAATACATTGGCCTTCCTTTCTTCTCTGAGTGCTGGAGGACTCAGTTCCATATTAAACATTAGAACTGGCTTCCTAGGAAATCGGATTTTACTCACATGCATTTAAGGAAAAAAGTAGAAGCATCTCAAAGGCATCTTCCATCAAAGATCCATTTTCCATCAAAACGATTTACT